GCGGAAGCAATATGATCATTTTAAATCCACATTTTGAGTCAAGTTATTGGGTTCTTTAATCATTAATGACTGGCTCGCTGCTTTTTGTGTGCGTTTTAACGTTTTACTGTGTCTTGTTATCTTTTTTTCATTATTTTAGACTGGAACTGATCTTCCATGCTATAAGCTTAAACAATTAGCACCAGCTCCGTTGCGTGGCATTATTAAAGTAATCTCCTACACCACACATTTCTTTCTATTCAAAGCACTTAAGTTTGATTTGGTAGGATAATTTCAGGTCAGGATACAATTACTATAAGGTTAAATGCTTTCCACATCATTAATTTTCAGCGGTTAATGTTGTTAGCTGACAGTCAAAGCGAGACAGTCCTGGATCATGGGCCAGCTCTATCTGTGATTGTTCTCCCTGTCTTTCTGTAGCCCCAAAGACAGATCAGGTGACCAAGAAGATTACAAATTGCCCGTTAAACCCAGATATCTGTTGTTAATCCAATGATAGACAGGTACCTGCTTGAAGCCATTTGTTCATGCAGGGATAGTCTCCACCCCACTGTGACTTTAAGTAGGTGTAAAGGATGAATGTGTACTACCTCTTTTTCAAGGTTGTTTAACAATTTCTCCATTATTCTGTCGCCCAGGATTATCTACAACCCCCCTGTGCATACTAGGAGTCACGAAAATGCTTGCGACTGTCCTTCCTCAGTCTCTGTCATTGTTAAAAAGGTTTCCAACCATTTCCAAACAGTCAATATATACAGTACATGCAGCATGAGGCCGCAGAGGAAGGTTTAACCCAGCAGATGACATTCAGCGCGGCGCCATAATCATTGCCTCCTAATGAATTAAATAGCCCTGACATTTCACAACACAGCGCTTGTCCTTTTCCTGCAACTGCTCTGCTGTTGTACCCCTCCTTTCATGCACTCTGTCTCTCTCTTGTTCTTTCTCTCGCATTGCTTTTCTATGTGCCTCCTGGCCTGTTGCAATGCCCTCCTCTCTCTCCCTCCCCCTCCTTTTATATCCCTCTGTTACTCCTTCTCTCGCTTCTCCTCACTCGTCCGCTCATCGGTATGCTACTGCACGCCCAGCTGTCTATGCGGGCAGAGAGAGAGAGAGAGAGAGGGAGAAAGAGAGGAAGGGGGAGAGAGTCGCTGTTTAGCAGCACAGACAGAATCCAGCTGGAGGGTCACAACCCTAAATGACCATCCACGCTCACACACACACACAGGCACGCTCAATAAGTCATACACTCACACTTCCCTGATGGCAGGAGCAATAGGTCATACGCCAACAATGTTAGAGAGGGAGACCAAAGGAGAGGAAGGGGGAGAGCAGGATTGAGGGGGGAGGTGGAGGTGTGTTCGCAGCTTGCTGAGCCATAATTGTCCTGTGGTTTGGTAGAGAGGACAGCGAGGAAGGATAGAGACCGAAACAAAAGAGCAATGGAAGGGGCATGGTCTGCAGGAGAGGAGGGGTTTTGCAGCAGTGTCAGAAAGTTTCCTTTGCCGTAGAATACAGATCAGGGCGGTATGGATGCACGGCTGAACTGTAATGGGACAGATAGACTTGTTCAGCATCATAGGCATCTAGAACATAACAAAAAACTAAACTAAATAAATAATAATAATACAATTATATACAATGAAATACAAATTATATTACTTCTATTACTTTACTACTACTACCGGTACTACCACGATAACTACAATAATAATGAAATAAAACAAAATGATACCACTACTACTATGACTAATACAATTAAAGGTGGGGTAGGTAAGTTTGAGAAACCGGCTTGAGATACACTTTTTGTTATATTCCATGGAATGCTCTTAACATCCCGATAGCAATGAATATCTTAAGTGCTTTGACAAAAAATCCATCATCTGTGGAAGCCGTAGTACTGTAAAAAGTACGACCAATCATCTGAGCCGGCCCGGCTAAAATAACTGGATGGCCTACCTGCCTGTCAGCCTTCCATCTGTGCACAAACTTATCTCGTGCCCTCATTGGTCATGTGCACGTTCGTGTGTGTTGGAGGAGGGGCTCTATAAGGAAGTGGCAGATCTTCTCCGGTTGTGTATTTTCCAATTCTAGCGATCTCGAGCCGGTTTCTCAAACTTACCTACCCCACCTTTAAATTATAATAATACAAATACATTATTATTATTATTATGAATAATAACACAGATAAAATACAAATGATGAAAGAAGATAGATTTAAATGTTGTCTTAAGAAGAGAAAAAGCTAAATTAACTATATTATTCATTTGTTTATTCTGCAAACCCCCTTTGTGCCCTGCAGTTAAATATTTAGTCTCGCATTTGAGTATTCTGCCTGCTTGTGCACACACTTGGTCCCTCTTCTAACTTGTACTTTCCAAAAAGAGTTTTTATTTACTCCTTTTTACTGATTTCAATGTATTCATTTTTAGATTTAGGGGAAAACAAAACCAAACAGCTTAGATTTGAAGAGTAAACATTGCTTTGTATTGCGTTTTTTGTGTGTGCTCATCAAGGGAAATTATGAACATTGGGCTAATTCATATTCTGATAAGAAAACGGTCTATCGTTTTATCTCTAAGACACAAACACTATGATATATATATATTTGATGTAAGGACACAGGCAGTGTAAACAGTTAAATAACTTGTCAAAACCTTTTTTTTCTCTTTGCCCTTTTGCCTGTTGAAAAACTTTTTTTTCCTTTTGTATACGTTTATATAATTAACAGATGGTGTCTGAGTTTTACTGTGGACAAACATACACATTTAGGATATGGGCAAATGGGAAATCATTTTGCTTATGATCTCTGATGCTTGTCATCTTGAAAGTCTGTTAAACCATGAGTTCAAAGCTCTAATCAGAGCGATAAAACATTCATCTTGATATATGAGGATTTTAATTAAGCCTAGAAGGGAATTCCCGCTGCCGATGATCAAGCCTGCTGAAGCAAAATGGGACTTGATGTCTTTGAATCTGATGGGTATTCCCTGAACAAACAAAGGCACACTATAATACGTCTTTTCATGTATTTATTAATTGTACCGTTACTCAAAAAGATATTTCTAGACATTGACAAAATCTACACAGTTCAACTTTCACATAAGAAAAATTGAAGATAAAACACATTAAAAACAACAAGATGTTATTTATAGATGTCTTCCACATTGACAGCTTCACATATTCTTGCACATTTGATCCTCTCATGTAAGTATATTTTATGTGTACAGTTAAAGTTGTAGCATACTTTGGCTTATTGCGTATGAACTAATGAGATCAAAAGTTTTCCATTTCAAAAGGATCATCTGCCATGGGTGAAGAAGCAAACAAGATATAACATTATACGAACAGATGGTACTGAACAGGAAGTCTGATGTAATGTGTTTTAGTTTGACTTTTATATTGATAAAAACACATGTAGTCCAAGCAGATATATCAACCCAGTTTAGAGTTTGGCACAACGTTTACTTGACAGAGTTATAATGGACTCGAACTTGACTTTTAAGAAACATATTAAGAAAGTATCCAATACCATTAAATTCAACTTACAAAATGTTAAACAAATCAGACCCTTCTTAACTGTCAATGCTGCAAAGTCATACCTCCACTGTATGATTCTATCCCACATTGAATACTGTTTTACAAACTGGTCGTTAGCTTGTGCCACAAACCTGAAACCAATAGAACAGCTGTACAAGAGAGCTATCAAGGTGTTTGACAGAAAGCCTTATTCATACCACCACTGTACCATCCTTGAAAAACACAATTTCTTGAGTTTTGACAATTTTAAGTCTTTTAAAAGTATGTTTTTTTATTATAAATGTTTACATGGACTGGCCCCCGCTTCCTTAGGGGAATTCATCCACAAAAAACACACTGGACGCTGCACTAGGTCAGAAACCAGAGGAGACTGAAGTCCACCGCAGACGGACCACTTTTGGACAACATGTCCTCTCCATTAAAGGCAGCTCTTTGTGGAATAGCCTCCCAACTGAGATACGGGATTGTCCTACTCTCAATAGCTTCAAAGGTCAACTCAAACAATGGTTGAGAAACAACCAGACGTGTAATCACCGCTAAATGCACTTTAATACAGGGGTATCTCCTCTTGCACTTTAGGTAGCTCTTATCATCTCTTGCACTTAATATGTCGTTGCTGCTATAGTGTACTGCCGTGTGGTAAATACTATATGCTGCTCTTGCTCTTTCTGCATATCATGTATTTAGTTTTTGCTATGTTTACAAATGTCATGTTCTTATATGTTGTATGTCAGGGACTATGGATGGAAATTAGCTCAAAGCTAAAATCCGGCATATTTACACTTGAAGCATTATTTGTCTAAAGTGTTCATTAATGTGCATTGTCCCTATTCAAATAAACGATTAAATTAAAAAAAATTGAAAGAGTATAGCTTATTGCTTAACAATCAGCGGGACTATCTGACAAAGACATCCAGACCGTGGAACATATTTTCTTCCAGTCTGAACATTTTCCATAATTTTGGCTTGCATTACAGAGTTGGCCATATTTGAAAGGTATATCAGTACACCAAACTAATTTAATGTCAATCAAAGATGGAGTATTTTTAAAATAAAAAAATTAGGAATTTCTGGTTTATAATTTGATCTGGTTAAGGAAACACTTCATACATAAGTGCAAATATCTTAAGGTTAAGCCCCACTTAACTGCATTGAAGCAAAATCACTTCATTATATAAAGGAAAGAAACGCACAGAAACTTTTCTTATTATTTGACTTATTTATTCCTCTGTTGATAATGATGTTTGTTTTTTCTGTTTTGTAATCTATAATTTTTGTAAGATGTACTGTACACATTTATCCATTTGCACCATGTTATTGACGTACAATAAGTGCCTTAAAGGTTTGTTAAGGACTATTGATTAATAAAGTTTTTGTTTTTTTAAATCTGCGGGAATATCGCGAGAGTGGCGCTGGTTTCCATGGAGACGACAGCTCAATACAAACGCTCTGAGCACGGAGAGAGGAGCGTGAAGTGCTTACATACTTAAACATACATTTTTGTTTTATAAGATGACATTTCATGATAATAAAGCCGGCAGAATTGGAAACGGGTAAGATTGATAGTGCTGATACAGGCGGGTAAACCGAAGGAGAGTGACGGGAGGTGAGTTAATGTCCTCCTCACAGTGTGTAAAGTTAATGTGCTGTGACGTTAACGCGATGTTACCGACACAGCACTTTCACGTTTACTTACTTTCAATTAAATCCTGGTGACATTACTAAACTGGTGCTGAAACCTTTTAAGTAAGTCAACGTTACTTTAGCAGTAGTTTAATACATTTTATATTGACTTCTTCCTGTAGCCGTTAGCTGTTGTATAGCCACACGCAATGGTGTAAGTAACTAAGTAGGCTACATTTACTAAGTACTGTTCGTATACTTTTGGAGTACTTGTACTTTACTTGAGTATTTGCATTTTGTGCTACTTATACTCCACTACAATTCAGAGGTAAATGTTGTAGCCTACTTTTACTCCACTACATCTATACCTTTAGTTACTTTGTAGATATGGATTAATTATAACAATATGATCAACACTTCAATTATACTTTAGTTACACCTGGATTCAATTGACATGAAACCCAGCAGTAAATAAAGTGATTCAAATTAGTTCCACTTTTACCAAGTATGAATCATTGATAAACACATTAATTACATGAATAATTATAATCAAAACATAATATACACGAATCTCAAATGGGCAAATAACCTTAGAAGGTTGACTCTAAATATACTTCAATGCTAATCATTTTGTACTTTTATTTGAGTCACATTTTGAATGCAGGACTTTTACTTTTAACAGGGTATTCCTAAACTGTGGTACTTCTATTTTATTTAAGATCTGAGTACTCCTGTCACCAAGAAAACTGCAGACATATTGATTTGGAGGTATAAAAGTATTTTTTTCAAGTGTAATTTTGTGATACTGTCCTGACCGTTTGTATGAATTGATCCAAATTCACTTTGTTTAATTATTGTTTTGTTGACTTCTAAGTGACAAAGGTAGCATGTGTCAAGGTGTGTGTGTATTTAGCACAAGGTGTTATGTCACAACTGAGTGGGGACGTTGTTGTCCTTAACTAATGAGCCATGTCATGATAGACCACACAACAGCATAAAGTAAACACAATATTTTAAAGGATATTTAACCCAAATACAAATATATGTTGCTTTTTTGAAAAATGTTTCATATACTGTAGCTCCTAGCAGGTGAAATGTCAGGGTCTTTTTTAAGAAGCTCCCCACCTTGAGCAAATCAGAAGCTAATCACCTCCCCCTAATGTGACTCTGCAATCAGCTCGGTTGCCAGCAGGTGCGGCTGTCTGGCTTTTTCTGTAAAACAATATATGCTGCCTTACTGGCTAATTTACTTAATTGGCTTTTACTGCCGTAGCAGAGTTGCCAGCTATTTGTCAAGCATATAAGAGACTATTTACACGGGAACGCAAACGCAAACGAAACGCAAACGAACCGAAATCGATATCAAAAAAGTCTTCCGTTCACACGGATACGGCTCAATAAACATGTCCCTTCACACGAGACCGATCGACCCGCTGGAGACGCTGTAGTACATATGCCGGGCCTGTAAGTGGCGCTGTACTTCCACCACAAAATACACCAAAAGCAGCGAAGAAGACCCCCCGAGCATGGTTGCCATGGTTGCCTGGTTGCCCTTCTGTTTATTCTCCGCGGTGGATTTAGCAACATGTAGTTCATGTAGTTCTCCATGTCCACTTGTTGCTGATGGTTGTGGTAGAGGAGCTCTAGATTTTGCACTAACATCTGTAGCATGGTCAGTAGCTACTGACAGTAGCTACTGACCATGCTACAGCAGTGAGCGGGAGAGGCGGGGCTATGGCTTCATCGTTATCAGGAAATGATCGTAGGACGTACACACTGAGCCGTTTGGCCCCCCAGAGCGTTCCGTTTGCAGATCTATCCACCTTGGGACCCGTTATTGTTTTAGGGGTCCGTTTCCGCGGTTCCGTTACGGCCTCGTGTGAACGAACGGGCTATACGAAAGAGAAAAGTAGCGGATACAACCCGTTTCGTTCCCGTGTAAACAGCACCTAAGTCTGTCAGATACAATTTAAACACACAGGATAGCTTTGTTTAACTGCCTCTAATACATTTGACCAAATCTGTTTTGCTCATTTCATCGCAGCTGTATTCATTTATGGCAGTGAGTGATTTTGCCTGGGCGCAGCATGATAGCCGGTTTTATGCCATTACTGTTGCTTTTTATTGCAGAAGAGACTCTTCGTAAAAAAAAAAAAGCACATCGTGGGACGCAGGAGGAATACCTGAGCCCTCGGAAAGAAGAGAGATGAATTTAAATGACTTTGTGGTGCTTCCTAACAACAAGGCCAAATCCGTCAAGCTCAATGCCAGGTAAGATGAGATACGATCAATGATGTGATTTAGGGCATTTGGTCGAAGCCCATTAGAGTTACTTGGCGGCCATACTGTTTCCATCTCTTCCCATTCAAATTCCACCCACAGAGCATTTCACAAAATGCAGTTTCAGACCAGATAAGCCATGCGACCTGGATTCTGATCATTCTCAGAGCAGGGTATTTGTTTTCTACATAATGCCCCAGTGCAAAATTGAGTCCAATCTCCCACAAAGTTTCTCATTTGCCAACAGGTAATGGACTGGATTGATGTCTGGCTTGGTGGTTCCCTGATCCAGTGACTAATTGATTAAAGTATTGATCAGTCATGGCAACAGGGATCTGCCAGTGCAGTAGATGAATAGAACATATTGATGAAAGCCCGGCCGTCCAATCTGACGGAGTAGGTCATTTGTATGATTGATCGTTGTTGATTGATTGCACATATGTGAGTGTGTGTTTGATGTTGCCATAGGAACCTGCAAGTGCTGCAGATGGAGACGGTGTCGCTGGCCCACGAGAGCAAAGAGATGGAGGAGAAACTGCAACAGCTGAAGGAGAGCATGATTAAAGAGAAGGAGGAGAGAGGGTGAGTGTTACAGTTAGAGAGGGAGGAGAGAGGAGGAGAAGATAGAGGCAGACCGAAGAGGGAAGGTGAGAATGGAACAGTACAAGGAGATAGGAGAGAGGAACATATTGAATGAGTTTGTGCAAGACAGGACACACACCATTTTACTGCTTTTTGTTTTGTCCATCCCATTGGAAAAGTGTGTGATTAGTTTGTTGCATTTCAAATTGTGTTGGACTTTTTGCTAATTTTTGCTTTAATGTTCAAAAAGGTCTTTATCTGGAACAATCAGGCTTCTGTTAGCTAGCGCTCCAACACATACGTACGTGATATGCTAAGGGGTGGGTATTTTCTAAGCATTTGACCAATCACAACAGAGCCAGCCAGCTACAGTAAGCAATCAGAGCAGACTGGGCTCTGGTTTTAGACAGAGGGTGAAAAGAGGTGCTGGCAGTATGAGAAAAAGCATGGTAGAGGCACAACATACAATTATGAACCTGACAAGGAGCATAATATGTCCTCTTCAAATATGTCCCTTTCTGCCTTACAACAACTCACTTGTCCACTCTTATCCATCACATAATGTAACATGATGTAACAGCCACACAATAACAACAACTAGTATGTTATAGTACATGGCATTTACAAGAAATGTCATGTTGCTTTTTATAAACGTCTTAACGATGAAGAGGGATGAACAGAGCGATGTGAGAGATAAGAGGCTTAACATATGAATGCTAAAAAACACACTGTCCTCACTGTTAGAGCCAAACACAGGGAACAGAGCAGGAGACTAATGGAAGACAGGAGTCAGAGAGGGAGGTGGGAAGGTGGGAAAAACACTGCGACAGAGAGCGAGCAACAAGGAAAGCAGAGACACTGAGTAATAGAGACAGATGGAGGGGACTAAATAAGGCTGATGACTTCTCTACCAGTAAAGGTCAAGCAAAG